AAGTGGCACATCTTTAGAGGCTGGAAGCACGGGTGTAAGGTTTGTGACGAATGCGATCATCATTCACACCTATATTGCAAAACATGTAAAAAAGTAGCAGAGGGAATATATAAGCGATGTGAATGTGATAATTCTTTAGCTTCAAAGAAGCGTCTCTCTAAGGCAAGAATAATTTAATAAAAATAAAAAATCCCACAGTTTTCCAGTAGTTATCCCGTAGTTATTCTATAGTTAGTATATATCTATTATACTAAATATAAAAAAAATCTCGTAGTTGTCCCGTAGTTATCCCATAGTTACCCAATTACCAGATTACAGCAGTAAAAATGTGAATTTCTGTACTTACTCTGCCAAAAATTTCGCTGACCTTGGGTCAGAATAATTTTTCACCCCTATACCATACTAATATAGCCATCCATACTATACTGATATTCATATTTATTATCCCATAAATCCGTATTGCACAATCTGTTTACATGTTATACTACTACTTCATTCTTCCTTTGTTATCAATAACTTTTCTCCTATATCTTATCTATAGCTTATCATATCGCTTTATTAATAATCGAAAAAATGGCAAACTAACAAAGTATCAAACTTACAAGTCAAGAAGTATAGTATTAGTATCAATTAGTATTATCGCTATTAATTGTAATCATACTTATCTTTTATAACTATCTGTGGCACTAATACAATGAATTAATCGCCTATAAAATAACCTTGACTATAAATGAATTTTTTTTATGTAAGCGTGGGCATACTTAACTGATTTTTATCCAGGCAGATTATTATAGAATTTAACGGTCATAACAAATATGGTAGATACCCTAAATGTAAATAGAAGCTAAGTGTACGTGCATAAATTAAGATGAATAAGTAATATGCTTAGATTTAAAAAGTTATATAAAAAAATTCTATAACACTTACCGCTATACTAATGACTATTATGTGGTTGAGGTTGAGTTAGCTTGTCTTAATTTTTAGGTGATTAAGCTTGAGTTAGTTTGCATTGAAGTTCTTATTACCATAAATTATTCTTACTACTCACTGCAACTGCATCCTCTCCAACGCGAACCTTGTTTTACAACTTAACGATTTTTTAGTACCCGTGATACTAGAAAAAAATACTGTCTAGTTTTAAAAATAAATCAGCTAACGATTTGGTTATACATAATTTGTCCACATAACAAATATATTCATTAACATGTGTTACTGGATATAAATTTATTTGTATCACCTTACTTATTTGTGCCATTTTTCTGAAATAAGTACCCCAACCCAAATTCTGTCAATCATCTCGTGGCAGGTATGTACGTACATTCTTCAACTTGTTACTATAGAATTTCAAAGTTGATGGAAAACGTATAAAAAGGACGGTATAGCAAAGCTATAATATTTGTTGCTTACTAGTTGATTGTCTTCTGTGCATTAACAAAATTGACCTTTTTTACAAACGCAATAACCATGCAAACCACTTTATATAATAACCTTTATAATTTTTTAACTGAAGCTCCTGAGACACAAATTACAGCCATTTCTCTCGTTTACCGGGCATTAGGTGATGAACCACGAATAGAAAAGGAAGACTTAAGAGTAGAAGTAAGTCGTGTAACTTCGTCGGCGCTAATGGAATGCGAAGTAGATTCTGACCGATACAGGAGAATGTTGAAGATATCTGATCAGGTACAGTATGTATTTTCAAAGAAAACGAAATTTGAGAGTAGAACCAGATGATGAGAAGTGCATACCGAGTAGGAAGAAATAAGCTAAATGCTAGTTTGAAGCCATAGATGCCATAGCCATGCAAGAACTGGACTCTAATCCACAGACGCATTGGAGGCGTTGTTGGTTTCACCTATGCACAAAATTTTTTATTCTTATGGGCGTTCGAACGTGGGAATAAAATTAATAATGATGGCCATTATCAAATTTAATAATATATCTACATTTTTTTTAGTTTGATGATGTATTTGAGGGATTTCGTAGCATACGCGAAATGGAGGCAGAAATGGAATCTTTAAGTGATGATGAAATTAAAACAAATTTAAGGAAGTTAAAAAATCGTCTTGCGGTAAATATTCTTAATAACCAAAATACAAATTATATTCATCTCTTACTTGAAGCTCTATGCTTTTAGAAAAGCAAGGCCATCCATGCTATACACTTACGAAAGAGCTTGAAAGGTGTTACTGAGAAAGTTGTGAGTTGGAAAGATCCACTTGGAAGCCGAGTAATTAGTGATAAAACTGAGATGGTGCGCCAGTTGCCCCGCAATGCTTTCAAATCTTTCATGGGTCCCAAATTACGTATGCAACCACAAGCTTCAGATGAGATTCGAAAAATGTGTGAGGAATATGTAGAAAATTTTTCTGAAGATACTTCAGAAATTTTAATGAATAATTCGCACGACGGCAAGTGGAAAGAATCAGATGAGAATTTAAAAAAAGTTGCGAAAGAAATTATCGATGCATTAAATGAGGTTTGGAAAAATCCGACCTTTTCCTCTAAAAATTCTAAATCATTAAATGAGGGAACTTATGTTACAGAGGTAATAGTACCTGTGCTTAGAGCTTCACTAAAAAATCTTCCAATTGGAAAGTCTGGTTTTATTACTACTGCGGAAAAAGAAAGTTTAGCCAGTAAGAACAGGAAAAAAAAATATGGAAAAAAACCCGATATTATGTTTATGTTAAAACATAAAAAAAAGAAGTATGAATTGATGTATGGAGAATGTTCTCGGTTGGTTTGTGATGAACAAAAAGAAGAAATGGACAGAACGAAGTTGTGGAGAGAGATTAATGATGGGATGTTTTGGGTGCACAAGGGGTGTTCACCAACCAAAGAGGAATTTGGCATTGTTGGTATTCAGGTAGCAGGCGCTCGATTATACCTGAATGTTCTCATAAGAGATAAGGACGAGATACATCGCCTTTACGAACTGAGATCACCCACTATTCCAGTGAAGCTTTCAAATAGTGATACAGTGTTTGACTTTGTAGAAACACTTTTAATATTACGGGTATGTTTAAATTTCACTGTGTAATACAGAATTCTTTGTAGTCCGGTTACTTATTTTCTATCTCTATAGAACATTTTACTTGTCAATAGCTCTCTGATATTTAATGCGAAGAAGAAAAATAGATCTCAGAGTTCAGAAAATAGTTCAAGTGTATCAACCCCTCCACGTTAATCTTTGCGTTCCTGTTTTTCATTTTATCTTTTATCAATAAAGCTGGCCTGGTGATTCGAATTCGCGAGATGATTAGAATTTTTTGTTATTTTATATTTTATCTATATATTTTATATCGCCTTGGTAGCTCGATTTCGTATACATAATCGTGTTTACTTTTGCATGTGTATTTCGTGAATTTATTTTATTTATTGTTATCGATGTATATTAATTCGCCTATGATCGAGAATTTTTTTACGCAGTCATGTGTTTTGGATTTATTTATTTTTTGTGTTTACGTAGCATGTATGTTTCGATGAAAATATATATCTCCATGATAAAAGAATCGAATATATCCGTGTTTTATATAAAAAATGGCAAACATACAATCTAAAGACGACTTGTTGAGAGAATTGAATTATAAGCTTGTAGCCGAGATTGATAAACTTAGGAAGGAGAACGCAGAAATACTTGAACTTAAAAAGAAATGTACTGAAATTGAAACCGAGAATATAGAACTTAAAGCTGAGAATATGAAAGTTAAAGCTGATAATGCGAAGTTAAAACAAACTTTAAAAGAACATGAAATCAGAATCACGAAT